GATTATAGGAAGAAGCGACAGAAATATTTCGTAATTTGTTCATCCTATATTTATTTAACAATTTAAAGAAAACCCAATTTTAGTGATATTGTTCGTAGTTGCTAAATGTCATAATTTAGTTGGATATTTTCTTTACTGTGGATCTGATTGAATCGCTTCTGGCTCAATATGCCAAATTAATCATAGCCTTAGTAAATTAGTGTTGACCTCTCAGAATAGTGAATCAAGTGACAAGCGTCCGAATCCACTGATAGGCATCAATTGATGAATTGATGGATAGCTGTCGATGACGAAGATCACTTATTGAGAGAACTGAACCTTAGGTCCTTTACTGAATACTTTCTTCAAATTAATATATATATATATATATATATATATATATATATATATATATATATATATATATATATATATATATATATACTGTGGTAAATAGTGTGATATCCTAGCCACTCGGTTTAAAGATGATATTTACAGAAGGATTCAGTGTCAGCAATTATTCCACTGTATTGACTAGTATTTTCGAAGATCGATTTCGACTAAACGTATTCAATCACTACTTGTTAACTGTTGAACATTACAGCACAGAATACACACACAGATTAATGAGCTGAAGTAATAAACACCACTAAAATATTTAATAATATATACTGTTACATGATAAGATTTTTACAAAAAGTAGTAAGAAACTAAGTTTTGATTTTCATTGAATTCTTTATGAATAAAAGCAATAAAACGGATCCTCTAAATATTTAATGACAAGATATTATCCATCGAAAATATCAATAAATCTCTGAATATATGCAAGGACGGATTTTGAGTACTGTTATGTTTGACAGTACTCTGAGTGCCGAATGCCTGATGGGTGTTGTGTCTGATACTAAGACTACCACCACTGACTATATTGTTAGGATATTCATCCAATATCCTAAGAGAATTATTTGTAAGTTTAGTCCTACTGATCAATTCCTATTGGTCGTACTAACTATCAATGCCACAGACTTCAAATGTGGTTTCCTATACGATCTAACTGTATAAATATGCATTATCTGTAACGTTTCATGATCCGGATACTCAGTCCGGGATTCTGATTCTCTTCTGGACTGGGATCGCGTACTTTGTGGATGTTTGTAGAACACATGTCCTACTTCATATCAAGTCATCTTCTATTTAATGAGGGTTTGGGATGCCGGATCATCAATCCTCGCTCTGGTTTACTAAGATGAACTCCTAATAGTTCGAGTATATCAACTGACATGTTAGAAGATGTGTTCGTAACATATAACGCAGTGAAAACCAAATCCCTAGCAGTAAGGATTTTCCTAAATCGACGCCCAAATTAAATCAAACTCATGTATGAATTCATTCTTTTTCCATATGAATTTAGCCTTATTTATTATCACATCAAGTACTTACTGAGCTTATTCAAATACTAAATTAATCAGGAAAAATTTAAACCAGTTAAGTATTAATAGAATTGCATGAATTTTTTTTGTTTTGTTTTGTTTAGAAACTGACGTGATCAGATCTACTATTCTCAATTTTATTAAATATTATTATTACCTTTGTACTATTAAAACTTATGTTTATCTAATTCAGTTATTTATTGATTCTCTGATAAATTGACCTACATTAAAAATACAAAACAACGGAAGTACAATTTTCTACTCATTGAATTATTGTATAATAATTTTTAAGTAATTAATAAATAAGAAAGAAAATCACAACATAAATTGGTCTTCTACATTTTATATAATAAGAGAACATAAATGGAACATTTATTATCCTAAAAGTAAATAATACCAGGAACAAAATACATTAGCCAGATTACAGTCATAATTTAGTGCAGAGACTAGTGATACTGCACAATTGCTTAGACTGAAATAAGTGCAACAGGTTGCGGTTCGCGAGACGATAGTCACCAATGGTTAGAGACCTTGAATGACATGGCTCAGAATTGTTTGCAATGGCACAGGTGCATTCACTCTTTGTGTTCTATGATATTCTAACCTTCTGAATTCCTCATAATCTCTACCTTTCTGCTTCTAAATTTATCTTACTGAATTACACTTCTTGAATTATATCTTCACTCCCTAATCTTCTCCATTACTGCTAATACTTCTACTATCACTGTTGGATTTGAACTGACAGTTGCGTCTCTGTGCTGATGGGGCATGACAACCTGAACTGATGTACTTACGTGCGAAGTTCTGCGTTGTATCTGTCTGTTTGTCAAAGTGCAACAGGTTCCAAACCAGTAACTTGCTGGTATAAAATTAAATATTTTGGTCATTAGGCCATCGTTCTCACTGAGTAAGTACACAATTATGAACTTGTGTTTATAATAATCACTGGTGCTGAAATTTCAGTGATTCTTGAAGACTATTGAGTAACATTCAAATCAGCTACAAGATATCGGTGGTATCGAACACTGAAGTACCATAGAATAACATGAGTTGAAAATGTTAATTAGAAATCAACTCACTTACCAAGCGCTGGAACATAAGCTATACTATAAGTGTAAAGGCTGCTACCACTTGGTTGCCTAGATCGAAGTACTCGTGATGGGGTTCCAATCTAAGGACCTAGTGAGTGAAAATCGAACGCCCTAACTCGACTTCACGATTTCATTATTGTCGGTATGCCTTCACTATACTAGTAGGAGTATTTGAATAAAGGAGACATAAATATTCGAAGTAGAACCTCTTTTTTTCTGTTTCCCGATAAAGATTATCAACATGAGATCGGAAAGTTGAAGAGAAGAATTAGGAAGACAGATTCGTCATGTCACGCTATACATTAGATGGTTAAAGGCGGTTATCTTACATAAAATATGGAAACACTTAGATCATAGGTAGTTCAAGCTGTTTTTCAATTCACCGATCACTCGGAATGATAATGATAAGGAATTCTAAATATATTCACTTAGTTATGTTGGACACCACAATCAATAAGGAAATTTATAAGCAATCTATTGTAAACTTTTGACGCTTAAGTATGACGTGATTCTTTTATCGTGGAAGGTTATTTCAACAAAATGCAACCATATACACTTTTAAGAAGTATGCTTAGGTTTAAAACAATGCTGAAATCTTTAACAGTGTTATTGCTAAAACTACTCTAAGAAAACTTCTCAACTTAGGAAGCAGACAAAATAGACTGTAGAGTATTTTGTCATCAGTTAACAAACATAACCATACAAAATTAAACGTATAAACACATTTCGAAATCAGTTGGTTTCTCCTAAGTAGAAAATAAATCATTGATTTAGTGTTTCTGAAGAAAGTGTAAATTTAAAACCCATTACAGACTGACGTTGACAGTAATATTAAGAATCATGTTGTTAGAAAAGCCAATCAGAAAACACCTGAGTGTTACACGAATCAATATGTTGATTACAAAACACTGGATGAATTCAACGTCATCAAGTTAAAAAGACCTGATCCTCATGAATTCCTCAGTTAGTATTCATAACAAATCATGAACTACTCTATTCAGAATTCTTTGTGTACTTTATTTTGGTAAACTACCCCCACCCCCTATGATCAAGTATTTGCAATCACAACATATAATGTAAAGATGAGAACGGCTATCCACGCAACGTCATCAAAAAACATCAACCGAAATCATCAACAGAAGCGAAATCAAGCATAGAAACCAACAAAACGGATCATCCTACCATACATAAAAAACATATCGGAACATACATCACAACTGCTGAAACCATTTGGAATAGGTGTGATACACACAAACCAACAGAATCACTTCAATCAATGTAGACTAAAGGACAAAATAAATTGCTCAGACTGTGAAAAACACTACATAGGACAAAGTGGGCGGCCTCGTTTACGTGAACATCAAGTAGCAGTCAAACGCCACGCCACGACAACGCTTCGCTTATATCAATACATAACGACAATTATGGACATATAGTCGATTGGAACAATGGGGAAATACTGGATAGGGGGAGCACAAGGAACACTAGAGAATTTTTAAAAGCATGGCACTCAGATCAATCAGCAATTAACAAACACATCGACATTGACCCAATTTATCAACCAATCAGAAAAAAAATAGGCATAGACGAAAAGGGGATACAATCAAAACAAAGGTGCAAACAACGACAGCAATCAAGATCGAAGTTAACACAACAAGCTACAAGTCAAATTTGGATAAATTCAAATACTTCACTTCTGTTATCTCAAGTTTGTGCTGCTGATGATGTTGTACAGCAAGGGAACAATGAAAGCTCCGCAAACAAAACAACATCCAGCTCAGAGAACACAACACCACCACAACGATGAGAACGCCCTACATTTCAGTGAGACCCACGCCATTAAATACAACAAAACAAAAAACATATATATCGAACTTGTCTGTTTGTCTTTGTTTAAAAAAAGACGTGTATTCTCCTGTAATAATAGTACAAAAACTGTTAAATTACAAAGATAAGTAAACAAAAACCGTCATTTAGAAAAAAAAAACAGTTTAAATATCAAATAAACAAATGAATATTTAGTAAATAAATATATATATATATATATATATATATATATATATATATATAAAAATCTTGAATACAGTACAACAACAACAACAGAAAAAATGGAATCCCACATTGAACAAGGCAAAGCAGCAGGTGACGTAACATACACAAATGATGATGGTGTTGCTGCTGCTGTAGTTGTAGTTGCTGTTAGACTGATGGAAGTTTTGTTCTGTGTTGTTTTGTTTGTAAAAACAAAAATCACAACAGCATCGATACGCACAACATCTGGAAAAGTAGTTACTATTATTATGATTATTATAATTACAATAAAAAAAACCCTGATGGTTTGTGTTTAACTGAAGTGTATACACAATCTGCTGTATCTACAATAGTTCAATCCGCATTGAAACATTGAACAATTAATTATGCCTGATTCAAACAATAGACAAATGTACAATTTTGTTATACACACACACATACATACACATGTATTTATTACATAACTGGTATGATGATAATCACATATCTATTCCAGTTGGAAATGATTAGAAGTATTTCAAAAACAGGAAAAAAAAAAGTCACTGAGTTTTATTAAGCAATTTTCAATATTGCCGCAAGATGCCCGGAAATCATTTTGAACAAACAAACAAATAAACAAACAAAAAAAACAACAACAACATTGTTCACTGTCCAATTTTCAATAAAAAAAAAACTCCAAAAAACCGTAAACATAAATAAATTGAATTGGGACGGAATTTTGAATAAGGGAGAAAAGTAAAATAAGAGAAGAGGAGTGTCTGTTCTCTCTTAAGAAATTATTCATAATTACATGATAGGGAATATATATATATGTATAAATATACATATATTCAAAAAATCAAGTGATAACAGATAAGGCAAGAAACCACAAAAGCAAACTTTGTCCAGTTAATTAGAGAAAGAGAAACACTGAAAAACTATGCTTTTCTTTCGCCAAAACAATGGCAAAAATGTACATTATAAAGCTCTTAGTATGAAAAGATAAATAAAATAAAAAACAACAACTTGATTTACAAATGAAATACACCATGATTAATGTCGTGAAATAATTGTGTATTGATTTTTTCGTAAGCTTTTGTTTGGGGATTTAAAAAGTACACATGATCATTTGGATTAATGTTTGGATCGAAACCAAGGCGACTAATTTCTGTTTTGCAAATTTTAAATGTACCTAGGATCAAGAGAGAGAGAGAGAGAGAAAAACAGAGAATGCGCGATAAAATATCAAACAGGAAGTGATTCACATTCTTAGAGGAATGAAATAACTCTGGACAAAAAAATATACATAGAAAACTACATCAGTCAGTCAGTCAGTCACAACGTAGAACTCCGCACACGAGTACATAAGTTCAGGTTGCCATACCACATCAACACAGAGGCGCAGTTGTCAATTCAAATCCCATAGTGGTGGAAATAGTAGAAGAATAATCGGTAAAGGAGAATATTAGAGATCAAAGATATTATTCAAGAAGTATAATTCAGTGAGATAATTTAAGGAAGAGAATGATAAAGATGATGAGGAATTCAAAAGGTTAGAATTTCAGAGAACACAAAGAGCGGATGCATTTGCGCCATTGCAAACGATTCTGAGCCACATCGTTCAAAGTCTCTAACCATCGATTACTTTCGACTCACGTACCGCGACCAGGTAGTCGACACCTAACAATATGACTCAGTCCACCTGTCAGTGACTTCATGGATTTCTGCTATGTTTTGGTCTGGCCGCCCATAGATTTCTTCCAACCTACTCCTACAACGTGAAATATAGCTCGAGGCAGTCGTTGGTTGGGCATTCGTAACACATGACCGAACCACCTCAAAGCGGTGAAGTTTCACTACTCTAAAATATTTACGCCTAAAAAACGCATTGCTCAAGTCAAATTTTCACAACATCGAGAGATTACACATTTGTCATATTATTATTACTATTATCAATCAAAACTGTAAAGTGTTGTGTTGAACAAAAGTTTGAATTGAGTAGAATTTGTTCTCAGTGAAAAGAAAAATGAATCAGGATGAAGCACTATCTGCATAGAACAAAATATTACAAACTAATTATTCAACGTTCCAGTGGTTTACACTGGGTTAATTTGTGTAAAGCATCATTTCAAACTTGTGAAATTACTTTAATGAATAATTTTTATATAAAAAGTAATATTTTGTTGCAATGAATATTTTCGATCAGTTGAACAATCGACGATTAATAGAATAATCATAGTATTCAAAAATTTACAACCTATACAGTAGCAAATTCGAAATCTTATTAGTTATCTATATTCATATTACGAAGCTCTGTTAGAATGACAATGCATATACACATATTGAATTTCGACTTGAGGTCAAAGCTTGTGGATAGGTTATGGTATCACAAACTTGTGGGCTGTGAAATCGCTGAGAATTCATTCATTTTACAATGACGTCATTATTCTTATTACTGTTAATAATATTATTATTATTAGTAGTAGTAGTAGTCATTATTAACATCTGTTCATTGCTTCTTTATGCTCTCTATTTTTGTCAAGTACACAAGATTCATTTCATCATTCTTAAATCATGATTCAATTTCATTTCAATCTTATTCTAGAAAACTTCCCGAGTATCGACTAGCGCGGACGGGATACGAAAGAGTCAATAGTGTATGAAACATCCTTTAATCCAATCTATGTCCCGCTAACAATTATATAAATTGAACTTTAAAACTTATTAACCAAATATACACTACAACATTGTACATTGTACAAAAGATGGCTTACACACTGAAACATTTTCTGTGTGTACTTCCGTTATAAAGCCATCTCTCTCTAAAATTGCCAACTGATTATAAGCATATTTAGCTAATCATTAACGCATTGAATCATGGGATAGAAAAGTGCGGTTGATTAACTTTTAAAAATGAATATATCTTCAACAACATGAAAAAATAATTCATGTGAACAAAATTATGTATATGTAGGTTTGTTTGAAAGAATATTTAATAAATATATCTACAGTAATTTATTAAGGTAACTATTATTAATCGGTATTTGAACTATTGACAGTTGAATAGATTTTTTTTCACTTATAATATATAATGTGAAAGGAAATTATTGTCCATATGACAATCGTATGAGATTATTGAATAACAAAATTATTCAATGTGACAAGTTTCTCTTATGAAAGGAATATTAATTTTCTGTGAAAAAAGACATGTGAAAACAGTAAACAGTCATTATCAATGTGATATGTTTGAGAGGAGTGAACAAATGAATATTCTAAGCATGTGAAAGCATAACTGGTAGTATGCTCGTCAATTGATATGCTTGAAATTGCTAACAGTTCACCTCACTCGGTAAACGAGAGTGAAGACAAATGATCCAGTGACATGATAGGTTACTCTAATCCGAGCGTGCCAAGGCCTCACTAAGTGGATGAAGAAGTTTTGATATGGCATACAAAGTATATATTACAACCCGACCGAAGATGATACCTTGACGTTATGGTCGGGCTTGCCTATCGTCATGATCCAACCGAGCTATATTGGCTGGAACTCATGTTCCTAAAGGTCCTACCATGCCAGGCAGGTCGATTGGAGAGCGATCAGACTAAACGCAGCTACTCAAGTTCTGAGGGCGAAGTCGTACTGCTGACTGTGATGGAGGGGTGTGACAGCAGTAAGGTGTTTCCCCCGGACAAACAGCATCTGCAGTGATTCTGCCTTCTCACAAGGAAGGGTTAGAAAAGGTTGACCCTGAAAATGTCACACCTCACCCTACCTCACGGATTTCCGTCTCCGGCGGTAAGGGTACCCACTAAGGGCTTTCAAGTACGGAGCTAACACTCAAAAAACTTCTCATAAAAAGGCCGTGCGTGACCGGCCTCAAGTAGTTGTCCCTTGGACTCTGCGGTCACGCTCCCAGGTCGTTCAGACCAACACTAATCTATTTTCCTTTTCAGGTCCCTCAAGAAAAACCTACCACGGTGTGGGCATCCGGGAAGTGACAACCGCCCTCATACCCGTAACAGCACACGAGACCAAATTGGTCAAAATCAAATCCTTCCTACACCCCCTAATACCTCTCTTATCTCCACGACTGACTGATATATTACAAGCACCCGGAAAATATGAGGTTGACAAACACACAAATCGAGTTTATTTATACATGATAGAAACGTCCTTAGGAGAGCCACAAAAATAACATACTAAAACAACACATCAACCAATAACAGCCAAGGATTTCCCGTGTGGGAAATGTAATTTCAAGGTCAATTGAGCAACCCAAGCTCGAAAACATAAAATCCAAAATTAGGACCTTTATCAAGTGACTTCTGGGGATCTAACGTCCCTAAAAATAACACAATGTCTTCAATCTAAGCAAAGAAAATCAGGTTTTATATCAAAGGTTTAATTTCCATATTAATATAAATTAGAAAAACAAATGGAAAGAACTCTAAATCCGTGTATATTCAGAGAGTTGGTCAAACATCGTTAGTCAAATGATGATATAATGTTCAGGAGAACAATGAAAATTTCAAAACTGAATCATGCGGCTTAGAGAGTACGCAAAACACTTTCAATATCTTCATTATAAGCTAAAAATATTCCCCAACGTTTTATAGTCAACTGGGCTTAAAAATAAATTGTGCAATGACATGTGATCTTAAAAATAAATATATAGTAAAGAAATATATTAGCTTATTTACTAAGTATAAATCTGAGTAATCAGTTTTGTGTTGCGCTTTTTGTGTAAGAGCAAACTAATGTATGTCGAGCGAGATTCAAATATACAGTTCCGCTCCAAAAAATAGGAATTATACCACAAAATTAAGTTTTTTATCGATATTAAGTCACAACTCAATCATTCAGCTACAACGTAGAACTTCGTACACATGTACATCAGTTTAAGTTGCCGTACCAGATTAGCTCAGAGGTGCGATTGTTGATTCGAATCCCATAAGGACAGACGTAGTAGAAGTATGATCAGTAATCGAAAGGATTAGGGTTTGAAGCTATTATTCAAGGAGAACTTAGCGAAGGTCGACTCTAAAATGTCACGATTCACCTTACCTAACGGATTTCCGTCTCCGGCGACAAGCCCATTCGAAAGGCGGAGCTAACAGGTCAAATTCCTGTAAAAAAAACAGGCCTTAAGCAGTTGTCCCTTGGTCTCAGATCTCTAAGACCAACAATAATCCAACTTCATTCTCAGGTTCTTCAAGAAACACCCTTCCGGGGTGTGGACAGTCAGGACGTGATATCTGCCCCTCATACTCGTAACAGCACATGAGAACAAATCCTTCTTATATACCTCTTAATAACCGTAGGAAGTCATAACTCGATGACTGCTATATCATCTATATACATACTGATAAAAATAATTATATTAATCAATTTAAACACAAGCACATAATGATAATCCGTCAACAATTAAAGTGAGATTTGTTTTTATAAAACTATGTTTCATCAAAGAAAAATTAGATTTTTATACAACTTTTCCCATTCGTTAACTCAAAACTTTTGAGGAAAATATTTTGAGATGTGGACAAAAACCTTCTTTTCTGTTAATCCGACGCGAGCTTTGGAAGGTAAATGTACAGTGGGTAACACAAGTTGACGTGTTTAATCCACATTTGATTGTCGCAATGGACATTTTGTTCGCTCTAGGGACAACAACTTGGTTAAAGGATAAATCCTACAGATAAACTGATTGCCTTGTCCAAAATAACATATTATTTGGCCACTAGGTGTTACTTTCATGTAAGCGCCATTTGTGTATACAAATTCACATGTAAGTACCAAAGCAGTTACATTGGGAGAACAGAAAGAAGGGCCTACGTCCGATTCAAGACACCAAGTATCTACACTGAAGTCGTTAAAGGGGATTGTTAAACAATAGAATCCCCATCTCAAAATTATTCAAACTGAAGCTAAATTTATGTGCTCAAAACATGGCATGACATTCGTAGGTTATTAGCATTCCATTAGAGATGTCTCCGAAGCATTGCTCGTATATCATGGGATAACCGAGTAATCAATGCTGTCGTTAAGAAACGAGTATTGGGTAAGGATAGCAGATCAAAAGATGAAGTGTTGAAACTCCATCGGTTGAGGTGGTTGGGACATGTGTTACAAATGCCTAACCACCGACTGCCTCGATGAGCAATGTTTTGTGGTGTAGGAGGAGTAGGTTGGAA